GGCTTTCCACGTGTGCGCCATGGGGCATGTCGCTGGGAAGGAGGAGAAGTGGGGGGGGGACACAGTGCTTGTCCCCTTTGCAGAGCTCGCACTCCCTGAACTGAAGAGGTGCTGCCTGGGGCCAGTGCTGCCCAGCTCCTGCTGACCCTCTGCATCCCAGCAGGAAAACCCTCCGTGCTAAGATGGGGAACCCACAGGAATCGGGGGCTGCGAAAGGAGGGTAAAACCCCGTCTCTGAACCCAAATCTGCTGCTGCATCCCCAGGGTGAGGACCTGCAGTAGCTCGCTGTGCCCTCCGTGAGAGCCACTGCTCAAACAGCTGATTCCTTTGGCGCCAGACCGGAGCAGGAGCTCCCTAATGAAGATCGAATATTGAATTCATCAATAGATGATGTAACTGCAAATTGCTGCGATTCATCCCAGTGCTTTGGCTCGTAGGCAGTCTGCCTGATCTTTGCACATGGTTCAGACTAATAAGGAGCCGGTGCTCGACATCAAATGCAGTACTTCTAGCCCATAAAAATCGCATTCTGGGCTCTCCAAAGGATGTGCTCGCCCCCCAGGGAGCTGCTGCCGCAGGGAAACGTCAGGGGTTGTTGGCCCCGGAGCAGCAGGCTCCTTCCCCAGGGCAGATGGGGTGTCTCTGAAACCCAAGCGCAGACACGAGGCACCAGTGGCCCCGGTCCCGGCAGGTCCCCTGCTCCCACGGGGCTGTCGGAGGGGTGCTGGAGGTTTTTTGAGCAGACCCTTCCTCACACCCTGACATTCACTCCCTCCCTCCATGCACCCGGTATGGCGGCACCATCTCAAGTTGCCCAGCAGCCGAGGACCCCAACAGGTCCTCTAACCAGGGGTGATGAAGGCCGTGTGCTGCAGCATCCCACTGCAGGTGGCTGCATGGCTCCAGTGTTTTTCCCTACCTTTGTGAATGGCTTGATCCCAAAGGAGTTGCTCTCAGCCACCTGGTGCAAGTGCAGTGTCGTCCTGGAAGCAGTTACAGAAAATGAGACTCAAGCTCCCTCCTGCCCCCAGCACTCACCAAACACCCTGCCCTCTCCTCAGGGAACATCTCCAACACCCGCAGACCCCCTTTGCCTTTACAGCAACATCCAAGGGGCCTCATCGGGAAAGGCTCCCGTGGCTCTGCCCCAGGCAGGGGGACGGAGCCGGCACCAGACGCTCCAGGACCCTTCGCCCGGGGCAGCCTGGGGACGTGCAGCTTGTGGGGAAAGCCAGAAGCAAGCAGGGAAAGGGACCATTATCGCATTTGATCAGCCCAATTTCAGTTTTAGTGAAGGGGCAAAAAAAGCACCAGAAAATGCCCCCGTTTCCTGGAAAATCTCTAATATATAAGTGTATAAAAACCCCTGCAGCATCACTAGTGTGATCACCCTCACAACCTCTTTCTCATCAGAGAGGTCTCAAAAACCACATTGCTGGAACAAACTTGGGTATAAATCACGGGGTAGCCCCTTGGCGATGGGGGTACCCATCAGCTGAGCAGCCGGGCGGTGCCCCATCCAGCCCCGCCAGCATCAGGGGGAAGACGTTGAAGCTGCTCTCTCCATGGGGCTGCTGGGCGACGCGGCCCTTCTCCAGCAGCATGGTCTGGGGGAGGGAGCAGAGGCAGGCATGAGCGGCAGCCCCCAGCCCCCGGCATGCAAGCGGGGACAGCCCCTTGGTGCAGGCAGGGTGGTCAGCGTGCCAGGGTGTCCAGGCAAGCCGGGCACACAGGGAAGAGAAGAGGACAGTGGCACCTAGAGACGGGGAGATGCTACTGGGAGCTGTCAAGGAGGAGCTGGATTTCTCCTTGTAGGGCCACGGCTGGCTTTGGAGGCTGCTCCTCCCGCCTGGGGCTGCGCGCTGCGGGGCGTGCAAACAAGAGCCAAATCGCGCCCCAGGCATGCATCAAGGGGCAACACTTCAGCGTGTGGGTGCAACACCCACAGTCCCTCCCTGCCTCCAGAGGTCTGGGCAATGTGATGGCCCTAGCAGAGACGCTACAGTCTCTGTGACCCAGCTATGGATAAGCCATTGCCTGGGCTTGAGACAAGCCTAGATCTGCCTCCAGCCTTGCCAAGGTTGTTCAATGCCAGCAGTGGCACCAGGAATGAGTCCCTGCAGAGCTGGGACCCCCCAAGTTGTTCTGTCCTCCCACAAGCATCCCAGGAAGGTACTAGTGGTCCGGAGAGTGATTGCTTCCAGGGGCACATTCCCACTCCTGCACAAGGACGGCCGTGCCGGGCCATCAGCTCCCTGCCAGTACCTGGGGCAGAGGAGGGGCAGCAATGGGGCAGCCACGGGAAGCCCTGGTGTTCCCCATACCGGCTCAAGCCCTCTCCTTCATCAGACAGGGCCCAGGGCAACGGGCAGCTCTGATTAAAGTGCCTTTGCATAACAACCCTGATGGTGATAAAAGCCCTCAGAGGCTTCTGCTGAAGGCTGATGTGTAAGGTGCTGCTAATGAAATGATGAATTATACATTTCCTCATAAACATTTCATTCCAGCGCTGTTCTGCGCTCCCTGCCAGGGGAGGGGATGGTGGATTGTGGGGGACCCTGCCACACTGCTGACAGAGCTCCTGCTCAGCTGCGATCTGGGGGCACCTTTGGTCCAGGAGGAGAAGCAGAGCAGAGCATCGCTCCTGTCGTGCCCAGCCTGGCTGGGAAGTGGCACAGGGGCTCTTTGTCCCCATCCCGAGGACGCCCAGTTTCAGCCACAGCCCTCCCATCTCGCCAGGTGATGAGGCCCGCAGCATACCTGGAGGTGAGCAGCAGTTATCCGGCCGGTGGCACTGAAATCCAGCGACAGGACCATGGAGAAGCGCGTAGAGCTGCTGCAGTGGCTGGTGGTCACTGACCCAAAGGCTCCCAGGATTGTGAACATCGCCTGGATCTTCTCCACTGCAAAACCAGCACCAGCAGCCCCCTGAGCTGCCCTGCGATGGCTGTAGCCCTGCATCGCTCCGGTGCTCACCGGGAGAGAGCCAGACTGCGCCGCTGCTGCACCAGCACAGTTTCAGGGCTGCAAATGAATGCTGGAGGAGGCTTCTCCTCCTGGCTGCACCTCTGCCTGCTCCTCCTGGGGGTCTGTCCCAGTGCACAGGGACCTGGCGCACTGGCCGGGCATGGGGTTAGCATCCCGCACCACGAGAGCACGTGTTGGCAGGAGGGGCACGTGCCAGCCTGCCCACACCTCCACCCTGCTCCAGGCCGTTCGTCAGCCCTTTGCAAGAGCATGGTGTACCCAGAGCTCGCTCCAAAATCCAAACCTGCTCTCTAAAGCTACTGATTGCTTAACAGCGCTTCCTCTCACGTCACCAGTAACTTGATCAGATGGGAAAAGTGCTGCCCCAAGCACGCAAGTAATTCCCTTCTGGTGCTTACTCGGGTGTTTATCAAAATAGCAAATCTGTTGGGTCTGGGACAAGTAAAAGGCAGGGGCACTCGCAGCCCCACCGCTCACCTGCCTCCCGGGCTGCAGCCCCACAGCCCCGCCAGCCCATGCTGTGCTTGCACAGCCACACAGAGCCACCCCAACGGGGCACAAATCAGACCAGGAATGGGTCAAATGGAGGCCATTGGATGGAAACAGCATCACCTTCACGTTTGCGTGCAATCCCCAGCCTGCACGGCCACTCTCCGTGCGCTGACTCTGCCCAGCACCAGGCACCCCACAGCTCCGCTGCCAGTGGTTAGTGCATCGCTGCCAGGGCTCAGAGCTCACAGTGGCCACCCAACCCCATACCTGAGACCCTGCCGTCCGTGCTACCCGCCATGGCCTGTACCTGAGACCCTGCCGTCGATGCTGCCCGCTGTGCCCACCAGGTATTCCAGGGCGCTCTGGCAGCACGTGGTCTTCCCAGCCCCGCTGCGCCCCAGGGGCACGATGGCCTGATCCTGCCGCTGCATCAGCAGGTTCCTGTAGGCTCTCTGCGCCACCGAGTAGATGTGCGGGGGCATGCTGTCCCGCTTCCCCTTGAATGCCTGCGGGCAGGGAGAGTGGGAGGGCACGTCCCAAAACAACCCTTAGAGGTTCTCTCCTTGTAGAGGAAATCCTGAAGACATGTCACACTCAGGGCAATGGTTTCTCCCCAGGGTGCAGACCCCCACCCTGAGATTCCCAGGGAAAGGGGAAATGCCGCCCGGCCCAGCCAGCCTAGCCTCGCTGCACCAGCACCGGAGAGAGGGTTGGGGACCGACCCAGGGAACCTGCAGCAGGACCTGCTCCGGCTTGCCTGTGAGCAAGAGCTCTGCCAAGCACCACCCCAGGCATTGCGCCCTGGGCCCATTCCCTCCCCAGCCCTGGCACCCCCAGACCACTCAGGGCATGCAGTCACATCGACACAGCGATTTTCTCCTGGAAACCAGGAAAAGTGTGCTGGGAGCGGTGCCCAGCTGCGAGCATCCCTGGCCCCGTGTGTCCCCAGCCCCGAGTATCCTCAGAGCATCCCCAGCCCTGAGGATTCCCCAGAGCGTCCCCGGCTCTCAGTATCTTCGAAGTATCACTATCCCCTATCCTTCCCGGCCCCGAGCCTCCCCAGCCCCGAGCATCCCTGGTCCTGAGTGTCCTCAGAGCATCCCCCTGCCCCGAGCATCCCCTGAGCGTCCCGGCCGCGCGCTGTGACGGTCCCACGGTGCCATCTGTCGGCACCGCAGCGCCCGGCACCCTCCGCCACTGTCCCCACGGGGGTCGGTGACCGCTTCCCACGGACGATCCCGG